TATGAGTGTATTATGTGCTTGTTATGTGATAATTAGGGAAAATTGACGTTTTGCGCAAAAAAAGTGAATGGTAGGGACGTTCTGCACCAAGAAACGAAAGGTAGGGAGGTTTTCCACAAGGACAAGCAAAGGTAGGGACGTTTTGCGTCAATTACCCTTCAATCTATCATGCAATCTTTCTATTTCAATTCACGTTGACATTGATGATGCTCTAAGGTTTAAATTATTTCTCTTATAAAAGTTGACTATTTAAAATGAAAGTCATTTCTCAACAAGCACTGCTCTTGTTGAGGTAGGATTTGTTACTGTGGACAAGAATCTCTTTCGAGGAAATTTACTAAGCTCTTATTTGATGGAGATTAAAATTAATTGTGTAGTAAATTTTGATAAAAGTTGATGAAATATGTTGTTGAAAAATAGTGAATCTCGTTAAATGTATAATTAAAATTAATTGTTGACTTTGACTTCAATTAAAATTCTTACCAAACTGTAGCTAAGTTCTTTAGGAGCAAGAGAGGTTGGAGATAGATAATGAATGCAGGACACGACACGATCAACTAATATTGGTGTGACAATATACAGAGTTTGTTGTCGTTTTGAAATAAACTGCAAATGCTCTGGCAACTGGTCCATCCCATGCATAATATATGTTTTTGAGTTGCAGATTGCAGATGCTGTTTTGTTGCTTTCAATAACTTAATTTCACTACTGGTCATTAAAGTTCAAGAAAATTTCAAATTTACTATTAAAGTATTTTTTTTGACTCATTTAATCTTTAAAGTTAGATAACTAAAATGTTTAGAATGGCTTTTCCTTCATTTAGAAGAGTTTCCTGAGAAATCTACTTTAATTTTTATTTGAAAATTAACATTCAAAAGATTTATCTATTTCGAAGGTGTTTTTAAAGAAAGTCACATTTCATAAACTTTCTTTAAAAACTCTACTAAGTAGAAAAAATACTTTTATAAAATTAGTCAAACGAATCCAAAAATAATTTTTGAATCTCAAAAGTTACGTCAAATGGACCCTTAAATCACTCTGTTACTTATGTAGCAGTCTCTAACCTTGATTTGGGCTAATGATTGTTAAAGCAATCGATTCCTTCCAACTACTACCTTTCCATCATTGTTACGGTCTTTTTATCGAATTCTTTCTCGAACCTAGATTGAATGTTGCTAACATGGATCAATTATGTAAGGTTACGAACTTCCATTACGAAATAGATAATTAAAAAAAAAATACTTTATAGACCAATTTCAAATCTTATTTGAACTTCACTGACCTTTCGTGAAATTAACTCTGCTCTGAATTAATAGGCCCTCATCTCCATCTCGTGATTGTGTTTTGTAAGTAGGGTGTATGGAATAGAAGGAAAAGGACAATTTATGGCAGCTCAAATGGGCATGTGAGTTGTTCTACAAGTCATGTCGTTGCACCATGTTTCATTAAAGCTCGGAGATACGAATTTATTTGACTCTCTTCAACGTTAATATTGTGTAATTAATCTACACCTAAGATTTTAAATATAGTTGGGTGCTTATTTATTTTCTTGTTTGCAACGGTATTAATTAATGAAATTGGTCCTACCAAAGCAAAAACTAAATGCATATTTAGGTAAAGATGTGGTGTGTAGTAGGTTGGAACTCGAGAAGTTAGAATTCAACTCTTCAAACAACTATATGGTAGGGATTAAAATCTTGATTTGAATTTAAATCAAAGTCAACAACTAATTTTAATCACACGTTTCATGAGATCCAAAATTTTTCAATCACGCGTTTCATCAAGTTTTATCAAAATTTACTAAAATTTGATTTTAATCATCACCAAACATGGACGGATGATATTTCACTCCCTACAAAAATATAATACTAACGAGTTCTGCAAACATTTCAAGGAAAAGTGGTGTCTTATTATCGAGTAATGCGATTCATCGCTAAGGGTGCGTTTGATTGCTAATAGTTTTCATGGAATATATGTTTTTTCCACTTAATTTCTTCTTTTCGTGCTGTTTGATTAACAATTTTTTTCACGGAAAATATTTTTCTATGTTTGGTCACGTGACCATATTTTTCTTGTTTTCAAAGAAAATATTTTCTTTAGTGAGAGGTGATTTTTATTTTCTAGGCAATTCACTCTCTCTTTGTCATTTATTCCCCTCCTCTCTCATTTATCCACCAATAAAAAAATGGACAAATATAAAATTTTCTAAATTAAAAACTAAATCAATCAAACACATTTAATTAATAATTTTCATACAAAATAATTT